CTCCCCAGGGATGTTACAGACCACGACCAAAGGAATCTGCATTTTACAAGTCTGCATTGAAAAACAAGTGAGTCTAGCTACTTTTTAAAAAACAGATTTTCAATCATGCCTAATCGCCAATTACTAACCCATCACCTGTTTTTGCACAGCCTGACATATAAAAATCATTTTTACATTTTTTATTTTTTTGAGACGAAGTCTTACTCTGTCACCCAGTGTCGTACTCTCGGTTCACCGCAACCTCTGCCTCTCAGGTTCAAGTGACTCTCCTGTCTCAGCCTCCCAAGTAGCTGGGATTACAGGCACCTGCCACTGCACCCGGCTAATTTTTTGTATTTTTAGTAGAGACAGGGAGACAGGGTTTCACCATGTTGGCCAGGCTGGTCTTGAACTCCTAACTTCGGGTGATTCACATGCCTTGACCTCCCAAAGTGCTAGGATTACACGCGTGAGCCACTGCGCCCAGCTGTTTTTACATTTTTAAATGCTTGAAAAAGATTCGATAATTATTTCATGACACATGAAAATTATATAAAATTCACATTTTAGTGTCCATAAAAGAAGTTTCATTGGAACACAGCCATGATCATTCATTGTCTGTGGGTGCTTTCCCAATACAACTGGAGTGGTATCATTGTATAGAGACCTGCAGAACCTAAAAAATTTATTCTCTGGCCGGGCGCGGTGGCTCACGCCTGTAATCCCAGCATTTTGGGAGGCCGAGGCGGGTGGCTCACGAGGTCACGAGATCAAGACCATCCTGGCTAACACGGTGAAACCCCGTCTCTACTAAAAATACAAAAAATTAGCCGGGCATGGTGGTGTGCGCCTGTAGTCCCAGCTACTTGGAAAGCTGAGGCAGGAGAATGGCGTGAACCCGGGAGGCAGAGCTTGCAGTGAACCGAGATCGCGCCACTGCCCTCTAGCCTAGGCAACAGAGTGAGACTCTGTCGAAAGAAGAAAAGAAAAAAAAAGGAAAGAAAAGAAAGCCAACCCTGACCTAGAATACCCAATTTAAAATTAACCATAGACAGCTCTTAGCTGAGGTGCTGCAAAGTTATTTACAGACCTTGCTACATTACGTTTCCAAACTTTGCAGAATACATATTACCACAATTTTTTAAGTGAGAAAACTAAGGCTGACATAAAACTTTGCCAAGAGTCTGGAATTAAACAAGGTCTGTCTGACTTGGAAACTAGCATTTTTTCCAGTACACAACACCCCCTCCTTACATCTCTGAGGGGCACTACATTCTGAATTAATACAAGCAGTACCCATCCACTGGTCCTAATTTTCTCCCTTCAGTCTATTAATACAGTATATCTAGACTATAATTTTGTTTTGCCTGAGTTTTTATTCTCTGGACTTAATGCTGATTCTTTCAGAAGTTTCTACATGACAAAATTTTAGGTCCCTTCACCCTCCAGATCACTCCTGTGAATATATTCATTTGTTGATAATGCCCTTAAAGTTTGGCACATAAGACAGAACTTGATGCAGGGGTAGGGTGCCGTCAGCAGAGTGACCCCTAGTTCTAAAAATTCTATGTCTTCCCTACTTTTCTATGAAGAGTTGACTTTTTGAACCCAAAGGCAGAATCTGACTTATTACTATTGAATTTCAATTCAATAAAATTTAATAAACTGGAGTTTACCATTCCTGATTATTTGAATCCTCATTCTGCACACTGATGATGTTGCAATTCCTACTAACTCCTTGCCATCCACAAATATGATATGCATGCCTTCTGTTTTTCATCCCGGTCACTAGCAAAACTGCATTAAGTTTTATCCTTTACTCCAGAAGGTTGCACTATAGGCCCTCCATTTCATCAAAAGCCTCATACTTAATATGCCTCACTCTGTCCAGAGTCTGTTAGGATAACAGACTCAAGTGAGATTTGTCACACTTCAGAGGAAACCCCAGGCCAAACATCATCACTTTTTTTTTTTTTTTGAGACTGAGTCTCACTGTCACCCAGGCTAGAGTGCAGTGGCGCCATCTCGGCTCACTGTGATGCCTTCCTCCCAGGTTCAAGCAACTCTCGTGCCTCAGCCTCTCGCGTAGCTGCAATTACAGGCACACACTACCACCCCACCCAGTTAATTTTTGGTTTTTTTGTTTTTTGAGACAGTTTCGCTCTTGTTGCCCAGGCTGGAGTGCAATGGCGCGATCTTGGCTCACGGCAACCTCTGCCTCCCGGGTTCAAGCGATTCTCCCGCCTCAGCCTCCGGAGTCGCTGAGATTATAGGCATGCACTACCACGCCCAGCTAATTATTGTATGTTTAGTAGAGACAAGGTTTCTCCATGTTGATCAGGCTGGTCTTGAACTCCCAACCTCAAGTGATCCGCCCCCTTGGCCTCCCCCAAAGTGCTGGGATTACAAGTGTGAGCCACCACGCCTGGCAATTTTTATATTTTTCATAAAAATAGGGTTTCACCATGTTGGCCAGGCTGGTCTTGAACTTCTCACCTCAAGTGATCTGCCTGCCTCAGACTCCCAAAGTGCTGGGTTTATAGGTATGAGC